TCCATTTCACCAGAAGAAATTGAATTTGCTGTCTTGAAATTAGGTTAAGAGTGCTTCCTCCGGTACCGTCCCGCAGTGTTGCCGAATACCCTTCCGAAATATTGTCTGATTCAAGACTGCTTCAACCTTCGTATTGCCGCATGGATTTTCTGCTTTTTAATGTATGAGACATGTTTGTGCTGATTTCATGAGTTTAGCTGAGAATGAAGAAGTTATTTATCGATATGGTGGGATATGCAGATAACCAGACATCCCTGAAGTAAGAGGATGGCGCGTACCGTGGATTGCATGCTTCATGAATGCATTCCCTCCTCAGACCTATTGGTTATGGTTGGAGGATCTCCAAATAGTCCTAACGTCACACGTCCTCATTGAAATGGTTCGTGAACCCATGAATAGGCCTGCGATTGGTCTAACGTTACATGTCCTCAACCAGATGTCTCAACCTGAAGACCACGATTCACCCTTACAGGGCAAATTGGAGCTGTAAGTCGAGAATTAAATTTCTTTTGAAGAGAAAAAGGGAGACCATGGCGCGACCTGAAGGCAGTCGGTGGTTTAGCCTAGGCCTAACGTTAGTGAGCCCATAGAGAGGCCAGGGGAGAGAGAGGGTGAGGGGGGAAAGCCATTGAAAATTGGTTTTCACATTACTTCATCTATTAATAGTATTTCTTCAACCCCTGCCGGGAAACAATTTCAACCGTCTCGTATTCCTCTCTGAGAGCATCAACAGGAACGAAATTTCGCATACTTTTTCCTCTCTCGACACAGAATCGCTCCAGCCAATTTGAAACTCCATTTCACCGGGATTGCGGAGATCACGGAACCTCGCTTTTGGAAGACGTGAATTTCGTTCCTGTATCCCCCCCCCCCCCCCAAGGGTAGCCGCTCCTGGGAAGTTTTTGGAAGAAAGAGAACAACGAAACGAAAGATATTGACCAGTAGGTGAAAAAAGTGTTTTTTTTTGTTGCTTCCAGTGCACCATTTAGCCATGAAAAGGAAATTAGATGCTGTTAATCTAGACACTGCGAGATGGCTTCAATTCCATCCTCCAGTGTTGCTGGATATCGTGCCTTAGTTATCCCAGATTTATGACTTCTTCGACCTTGGATTCGTTGTCGCTTTTTAGTGTAGGAGCCTCTATTGTGCTGAATTCAAGGGATGAGCTGAGATTGAATCGTTGGTTTGCAGTGGCCAAAGAATTTGGTGGAATACGAAGATATCTCACCGGACATCCCTAAATTAACATGATGGCGGTAGGTTCAAATGTCATGTGCTCTAAAGACACTTTATTGTCAGAACGAATCGAGACGATTCGAGGAACTCTGGGTAGGCCTAATTTTCCTCAACCGCTCTGAAATCCCCCATGGAACTCGAAAAAGCAGGGTGCCCAGAAAAAAGTAAACCATTACATATATGTAAATTTCTCAAAAACCATGAGACCAAGCTGCCTAAGAATTTGAATTCCAGGAGTTCAAATAGTCTAAAAGTCCAAATAGTCAAAATGCCTAAAATATTAGGTGGATCAGTTTGACCTAAACACTGATAATTATCATTTAATGAAATAATCTGGAAATTATACCGAATTGTTTATTTTATCACCTCAGTTCAAACAAAAATGCGACAACCAATGGCCAATAAGGAGCAACCAACGCATTATTTTATCTTTGGAGACGGCGAGCAAAGTCGTGGACAGTTATCTGAAGCGAAACAAGTAGTGAATCGAAGCTAGAGGTGGCCGTTTTGAAATCAAGTGATTCCATTCTAATCCCGAGATTGTAAACTGTTTTTTTTTCTCTCAAAGGTTGTAAAAATTTGGTCATTTTTAATCAAGTATTTCATTTCTTTATTTTGTCCGGGTATTTTATGCCACACCCTGCACTCTCCGATATTTTTGATTGAATAAGGTTATTATTTCGGATTAAGTGAAAAATACATGGCATTGTATTAAATTAAGATATTTACATCAAAATTTACTCGTAAGTATAACTTTTGCCCACTAAACTTACTGTACTCTGCATTTAAAGCATCACACACCGTCGCCACTCGAAATTGTCAAACCGATCTGCATAAATACCTATTTAGGTTCCCTCTTAGCAGTCTAGATTTCCACTCAAATTAATTTAAGGAATTTTTACTTTGAGGCCCCTCCAGTTAAGCGAAATTAAAATCTGCGCACTCCTCGTCTGCAATCTAGTGAGAATTTTCGCATAAGTTATCAGTTTCCAGTTAAACGTGTGAAATATTATATCACTATCGGTCATTTTCACACAAGTCGGTGTTAGGTGCAGATTTTTAGAACATTGTATAAGTTGCGAACCAGGTTCTGATTCCTCTTGGTTCTGTTGATTTTAATCCCATGGGGACCGAACATCAGTGAAATGCGCAAAAGACTTGGTTGCACCGGATTTGCAGTTGCTCCGCTCCTATAACGATGCCTGGAGAACGGGGATGCCGAGAGGAAGAAGGGATGGGGCGTTGGAAGTCGATGCGTCTCAGGACCGAGTGCTGAAGCGTTTCAACTTGCAAGACGGGGGAGACCGGTAAGTGGTGGAGGACATCGAAACTGGATGAAATGAACACAGAAATCTGCACACAAATTTGAATATCTACTTCGCTAGAATTGTGGAGAACGCTGATTCTCATTTTTTGAAGAGTAATTTCTTTCCCCCCCCCCCCCCCCACGCCCTTCGGGGTAGGGGGGAGAAAAAATGAGAGAAAACTCTTGGGGGGTTTTGGAGGAAAAGAACCAACCAAAACAAAGATTTTGACTAGTAGATCACGAAAAGTATCATTTTCGTGATGCTCGATTTCGCCCTTAAAAAAAAATAAAATCATCTGTTTTTTCGTTTATGCTTAGTGTGCTGGCTCTGGTCCTGTCCCCAAGTGTTGCCGGATATAGGGCCGGGGATATACCAGATTCATGACTGCTTTGGCCTTCGTATCGGTGTCTGGATCTTCTGTTTTCTATTGTTGCAGACATTTTTGTGCTGAATTCATGAGATGAGCCTAGATTGAAACTGTGGATAGCAGTGGCCGATCGATGTGGTGGGATATGAATATCCGACCTTTCACGAACATCCCTGAATTAATGGGATTTCGCGCACCATGGATTTGACGCTCCCCGGTAGGCATTCCCTCCTCAGATCAATTCGAGATGGTTCGAGGAGCCTTCAGATAGGGCGAACGATCAGTCAGCTCTGAAATGGTTCGTGAGACATGAAAGAGGCATCGAATTGGTCTAACGTTACCCTTCCCCAACGAGATGTCTGAAAGACCGCGGATTTCGCCTAATAGGACAAATTGTTAAGTCGAGAATTGATTTTCTTTTGAAAGAATAAAGGTCAACTCTCAAAGGAAATTTTGGTAGTGTTTCTCTTCCCTGCTTGTATTCGTCAAAGGTTTTAGAACATTTATATGGTCTGAGTAGTATGATATGATTTTGGATCAAATTCCGTCAGGTAAAAATGATAAGGATGTCATCACACGAACTGTTGAAGGAGCAAAGGCACTGACCACCCCAAGTAAGTATTTTAATAACCATAACCATAATTTATATATAAAATATAACCTTCTGGCAACAGCAGGGAGGCACGGTTACCCGATTCAGGAGCCTCAGGGACTTCATCTCCCCAGCGTTGCAGAGAACACAGTGTCTCGTTTTTTCAATATGCCGAATTCTTTCCAGGATTCCTGGGATAAACAGGCTCGGACGGGAATTATGCCATATGAATTCAAAGCCATTTCATTTTTCTGTGGGCACCCTTCTGTAGAGGAGGTCTAGGTACACATGCTTTTTGTTGAATATTTTACTAAGGATAGTTCTTTTTTTAATTTGTATACAGAGTGGTTGAATCCAAGTGTAAATGCTACCAGGTGTGAACAATGATGCAGTGGAAACTAACTTAATGCAAGTACCTCTCACTATGCCAATTCACATGATCAAATTTATTTCGCCTGTCAATTGCTTGCCCACAGCCAAATATAAAAATTTCTTATCAGAATGATCATTCTACGTAAAATCATCCAATCAAATCCGGGATGCCATCTCATAAGAAGAGAGAGACTTGGCAATCGATCGCAGAAATTTAGTATTTTGGTTGTGTACCCCGAGATTGAGAAGAAATCTTGTTCATGATTCAAGTAGATTTTCTCTTGCTGGTCTGTTGAGACTCCAGTCGTGGTAAACGGTCATGTTCTCTCCTCCTCTGATGCAACCTTCTTTTCCTTGTGTGCGGCAAGAGGGTGATATTCATACTAAAGAGTAAAAGGACAAGTAACTGAAAACCACTCTCCTTCGCGATTCCCATACGATTCCCATGGGATTCCCATGTGAAAATTTTTTAGGGTCTCCTAAATTACCGTGGCACTATTCCAAGCAAGAGAAAAGTCATTCTTCAAAACGTTCGCCCCCAAGTTCAATGTTTCTAGGAGCGAATGGACATAATGTGCCAGGCTTGGAAATAACCGTCAAAGTAGTAGAAAAAATGGCAACAATGAAACGTCGTCAATATGCCAAAAATACGCCAAAATGGGATATAAGTACTTCGACTGTGAAAGTGGCAACAGTCTGCCTCTGGATCCTCGAGATCAAAGGTTACTCGGACGTGCGAACACGTTCAAATATTTATGAATCTCCATTCAGTTTACATATTTGGGATTTCCCAAGTTCCACCTTTTAAAGGACACCTTGATTGTCGAAATCGCACCCCAATTTCAAAGTTAATTACCTTATTCCTCCAGAGATCAAGTTCTGTCTATGAAATGGTATAAGCGCATAACTTTTCAAAAACTATTTAGAGAGGGTAAAATAGGCTATTCTTTTTTTTTTCTTAAATGGACCCCTTACTACCAACGTTCATCAAATTTTGAGCTGGTATCCAGTGAAAGTCCATGTCCCATTGGGTGTTTTTGACATGGAATGACCTAAAGGTATATATAACAGGTAAGGCCATTAAATAAATGCATGAGAAAATATGTCAAACATATTTTATATATCTGGCTCACAATAATATTTCGAAGTATAATGAACATTTCATGATCACGGATTATCATAGCATCACACACCCACATTCAAAGACAATCTCGACAATCAGTAACAAACGCCGATGCATAAACAATTGAGATGAATCAAATGCTCCCTTTGACTTCATCGCATTTCTTTCTACATATGACATCGATGATTTCATCTGCCTTCCTCTTCAATCCCAACTCCTGCAGAGCTTCTCGGAGAGCTCCGAAGGTGTACCTACCTGGAGGTGAGGATTTCCTCCACTCTCTCAATACACTATATGTCGTGTCCTGAAGGCTGTTTCTTAGCTTTTTTATTTCTTCAAGCTTCTCTTGACAGACCCCCAACTTTTCCCCGAGTTTCTCCCATATGTCCTGCAATTTTCCCGCCATTTCCCAGATGTCATCGTCAGAAGGCATCCTAGAAATAGTCACAATTGGCAAATAACACATACACCGCACGAATGGATATCCTTTCGGATACGATTTCTCTAGCCTTTTACGTATTTTTAAGTTAGATTTTGAGTATAATAGTGTATATTCCATGGGGTGATGACATTAACCCTTTGAGGCGAGGTGGTTACACCGTGTAACCACCTTTACTTTATTTTACATTATTTTCTCCCTGCCCTTGGAACCTTGATTTCAAGGCGAAACCACTTGTAATGGCTGACCACAGATCTAGGGGTATAATTCGAAACTTTGAAATCACTTTGTTGGAATTGGCAGGTTCTATGAAAGAAAAATTATGACATCAGAAATTGTAAATTCGTGGCTCAAAGGGTTAAGAGATGACTTTCCATGAGATCTCATGCTCTGTTTCAGAGATTGGCTGATTTAAAAACGGGAATTCATTTGCTGGGACAATTTGGATTTCCCTCTATGTAGTCAATAGCCGCATAGTAAAACTCCAGTCTCATCAGCGTCATTCGTTCTTTTCAGGTCCTTCTGCACTCTTAAACGAGGCGAGCGCTAATTCCAGTTTTCTTCTCTTTCTTCCATTTTCCATAGCTTTTTTACTCTGGAAGACTAAAAAAAAGTTAACGCTGGGAATTTTTCATGTTTTCACTCTCATTAGAGAAAAAAAAGAAAGGTATTAGTCGTTAGCACAAGCTTTTTTTTTTGAAGAGTATGCTAAAGCATCACCATGTGCTCTTTGGAAATCGCATACCACTATCGAAATGAAATCCAAACTATAACCACAACTAAACTGGAAGAAGAACATAACTGCAATTGATCTGCCGTTTTGAAATTAATCATGCTGAGCTTCTCCCGTGCGCATCCATGTCTTTAACTCTTGTAAATTAGTTTTTTTTCTTAACACATCATAATTTCTTGCTGCAGGAATTGAACATATAAAGACTCACTCGCTCAAAAGGGATATTGCAAGGTCCGGCTTCCCTTTATCGACTGCTTCCCCTGTAGATCAAGCAACCAAGAATTCTTCTAAGCAATAGACTCATGATTCTTCTCTGCCAAAATCGAAGTACTACCGAGCCGAAAAATATTCCTACATTGAGTCCGAAGATCCTTAGATACGTCACTCTGTCCTGCAGTTACAAGCGCTTTCAGAAGCATCTCAAAATTCCGTGAATCGATCTTAGCCAGCAGTTTCGCCAAGAGAACGGTTCTCCTTTGCGTCAATTCTCGTAGTGCCGTGACTTCGTCGCGATCTCCTGACGTTAGAACCCCGGACTCGAATAGATCCATCGCCACACGGTCGACATCCAAATGATCCATGAGGAAATCTTTCCTTGCTCGAATGATGTCTCGGGGTGACTTCAGAAGCTCACTACGGTCTGCCAACGACAAAGGACGTCGTTTCGAAAGAAACTAAGTGAATGGAACGTCAACATTTAGTGCACATTGATGGCATTCACTGACTCACCTCTATCCATTTCGTCTGCTAACTTCGAATGATTACGCTCTCGTAGACACGTCAAGAAAGTGGGGAAGGCATCCTCTCCTTTATGAAGGATTCGTTCCGTTAGAAATAGTCGCTTCTCGGATGAGGACTTCTTGGCAACTTCATAATACTCCCCATTCTTCAGCATACCTTTCTTCAATAAGTCCTTTAAAATTTCATCGATGTCAATATACTCCAAGTCATGTATATGAAGGGCGAAGACTCGATCCACATCCATGTTGATGGGTGATAGCGGATATTGCTTTGGCAGTACTCGATCCTAGCGAATCTATCCTAAAAAGTGAAAAGAGGGTTTTTATGCCTCGTGTGGGCGTTGATGTTGTCCAGATAAACTGAGCCACTATGATTCAAGTATTAAGGTTTGTTTGCCAATCGTACTCTCAACTTTTCAGGGTAGAGATCAGGGAAGAATGGGTATTTACGAAATCTATTTTGCCAAAAAAAAAGTTTACGTAAATACCCATTCAATAAATAAAATATCAATTGCGATTATTAAGCAAACTAACTTCAACAAGAAAAAGGTGAGGATCAAAGAAGTTGATAATTTTATACCAGCACGGAAAGGGTAGGATAAGTAACAGACCAGCTGATGATATCATGAATTCAGCAAATTTTCAACCGTTGACTGACCAACCATATGCAGGTAGCTCTTAGCCTCTAATTGCACCTATGTAAACTCATGAAATAATAGTTTCTCCTCGTTTCGAAGTTTGTTGAGGAGGGAGCTTATGAGGCGACAGAGAGACCGAAATGGAACTATTAATAAAACTCACGTTAGGAAGTTCAGCTTTCAAAGGAAATTTTGGCCTTGCTGCTTGTAGTCGTCGATCGTTTCACGACATATACAGTATGCGGTATGGGGGGAGGGGGCAACAGATAATATATAGACCCAAAGAGACCCAGAAAGCTTTAGGCTGATTTTCTCAGGTAATATGATTATCTCGGGTAATCCAACCTTATCTGGGATGCTGCTCCGTGATGTCAGTATCGAAGAGATAAATTGTTTGTCCGCAATATGGATCAAAAACGGTTGTCTATGTTTGAGAGTGGTCGTTGGAGAAAGAGTGACGAGAGTATGAAGTGAGATGAGAATGCGCATGATGAGAATCTGCAAGCGTGATCTATAATATACACAGTCACGATCAATCACAGGTAGCCAGAGAGGAAAGTTGAGTCTAGAGTGTAATTTTGCGGTTTCCAACTGCTTCATGACTGAACGAGAGAGCATTTTCACTTGAAGCGGGCATAGATCGTGACATAATTTCGGCAGATGTGAAAGCAAATAGGTTTTTGAGAAGGTGGAAGGGAAGCATGCGATTTACCTCCGCTTGGCCACAGGATAACATCCGTTCTAGTTCCATCACAAGTTAATACAGGGTGTCCGAGAAAGTACGCCGGATAATCACAACTGAGCAAGTGTGGTGCTACAAAGCACCGTTCTTTGGATTCTCTCAAGCGATCCCTGAACCGAGGATCAGAGCGAATCCCACAGGAAGTCTTGCGAAAATCAATCGATGCTTTCACGGGTCGTCTGAACCTTGGAATTCGTGCCAAGGGAGGCTATATTTAAAAATATTTAAATGATTCTAAATCAGTTAACTGTCCTTGTTATTGTGTATTTTAAAATTCCTGATTTTCAAATATTTGCTGGGGTTATTAGCATATTGCGATGGGACACAACTTTCTTAACACCCTGGATTACCTGGAATGAACTCGATAGCCCTTTTGTTGCAAGATAGCTTAGAATGAGACTATTAGGACAGAATGGACCTATATGCTGGCTCTAAATTCTCATCCAACTCTCCAGCAGTTGGGTGTACGGGGTAAGTGCATCAGAAATCTTCTAACACTGGTTCTGTGGATTAGGTGTTGTAAACTCTTGACCTAGAGGCTGTCCACGGCGCAGTTTCTGGTTTGTGCAGCTTCAGTTTCGGAGAGTAGTGCGTAGAGGTTTTCCATGAAATGAAGAAACGATGAAATACTTAATTTTTATATTCAAGGAAAGGGAGTTAAATTTGCGCACCAAATGCAGTTTGTGCGCAAGAGGTGCACGCTTAGGCTTTTCTCACTCCTGTTGTATCAATATGGTTATATACAATCCGTCTAGGGAAGAAGACATTTGCTCAAGAGACGATGATAGAACTTGAAGATATGGCTCTCGTAATGAGTGAATTTTTTAAAATGTGAGGTATATGTAATTTCAAAGATTATAAGTTATCTTAGCCCAAGAGATAAATATTGTTTTCAAATGCCACAGTTAGGACAATCCTACCAGAAGTTACATTTCAATCTCACAAGTTACGGGTAATTAACTTTATTTGCTATCATGTACATCTCCAGTCCAGCAATTTCTTCTTTTTTGTACGACCTTTCTGGCAGAATGGAAAGTACACGTCTAGTTTCTATTGCGAAAAAATGAGTTTTCCTTATGACATCAGGAGCTACTTCCAATCTCTTTAAATGCACCATTGAATAGGGATTTTCAAATTTTGAAACCTTCCTGCACCAAAGAGGCTCTGGGAGCCACTGATATAACCAGATCGATGGGGTAAAGGCGTTTGATAATGATGAAGCAAATAATGACATGAAAGTTGAGAAGATGCCTATAAATGAGTTTCGTGGACTGCTGGCGCTCTTCCAGGGAAACGCATGAACCAAGCGTCATATTTTCCATGCGACTACGTGACTTGGTCAGAATATTGCCTTCACCATTGGACTCACTCTTAAACGATTAATCTAAAGAAGGAGAGTATCATACGTGAAAATGACTCGTCATCCACTAGAAACCCAACGAAGAGTCACCTGGTTTCTTACGTGATTGGCTGCTATCAGGATCGTCGACTTGATGATGTGAGTTCCAGATGGCTCAACATGGACTAGTACATGAATCCACATGACGAATCATTTTCAAGGCAGAAGCTGCATGCCTTTCCAATCGTTCGATACTTTGATTGGTGTTCCCATACTACTGATATTGCCTTATCTTCATCGCTAAACCACGACTATTAAGTGTCAACGCTGCGTGCTCGCACTTGCTTTCAAGAGGCGATATCTAGTGATGCTTTCGTAAGATGTTTTGACCCTCCAAAAAAATGGTTTCTCGCTGCGTACTCTACGGCGTATGCTCACAACGTTCCAGACTCCAATTCGCTGTTCCCTGTTGTTCATCCACTCAATATTTAGCACATCTTCCAAAAAAAATTCTCAAAGCAAGTTATATAATTCGCATAAATAGATGGAGTGCTTCTCCGGAATTTTAAAGCGCTTCTTGCACATATACCAAACTCCTCTAACTCTAGATGAGGGCACAAATGGTGCAAACTATGAAGTGAATCCATAAGCACGGACCGGGGTCATGCCGTTTCAAATATACAGGCATTTAATTTTAAGTTGCCGATTCTGATTAAATGTCGTAGGCTTAAAGGTTGACGCAATTGGAGTTTTTATGTCAAATTTCATCCTTCTGGCTTTGAAATTATAGGGGCTGGAATTATTTTCTGATGTCCGACGGCAAAGTGTGCTGTCAAAAAGATCGATATGAACTTGAGGCCGGGATGAAAGGGTTAGCCGAACTCCAGAGCTGGAGCTATCTTGAAAATTTTATCTTGCATTGAAGCTATCTTGCGTTCAACGATTTTTCGTGAAGGAATCAACCTAAAAAGTTGAATTTTCAAGTTTTGTTCCCATGACAAAAGAGGTTATAGCAAACACAGAAAAGGGGATGTACATGTGTTCTACAGAACAGCAAAATTCACAAAGTTTCCCCATCTGAAACCCTACCAATTGCCTTGAAAATCAAACCAGACATGAGCGGGTCTATTTGTTGCCCAACAATGATGCAACGGTTGCGGTACGAATAGGTATAGAGGGGGGAGTTAATTATATTCCATATGAATCGGAAAAAAAAGTATTTCAAGTATTTATTCAATGTTTTCTTGTTGTGAACCCTACCAATAGCCATGAAAATCGCGGCGGACATGTCCAATTTCATGCCTAATGTCTAATTGTTACGCAACCACGATGCAGCGGTTGCGGCACAAATAGGTTTGGAGGGTCCAAAAGCGGTAATCGAATATCCAAAAGCAGACAACCCAGTATGAATACATACTGGGTTAGACGAAAGCAACATGTCGCTCTCTGAAAACTTGTGACGCCTATGAAACACCAGCAAGAACATTGAAGTGTATTTCATACATATCACTGTGCATTATTTTAGCACCTTCAAATTTTGGCACATTTATCTCGAGCCGTTTTAGCACACGAGTGATTTCAAAAAAGCAACAGGAATATTATTTTTGCACCCGCACCTCGACGCTGACCTCAAAATACAGAAATATGAATATGGTTTCACAAGCATGCAGTATAAAGTTTTCTAATGAATAGAAAGCAGTTCCCGTGATTCATTCCATGGGTGGACAGATCTACCAGTGAAACCGGGAAATGTATGGCTGAAGTTAGCATAAAGTAAAAACGTAATGTGAATATCAACTTCTCGTAGCCGTCAAATGATCATGGATCATTTGACGGCTTTTAGTTTACTAGTATTGGCTGCAAATACCAAAATCACCTCTTTCCCATAGAGAGCGACGGCGCGATTTAAAAAAACCGTGTGTATGGTCAAATGAATATATATTGCATGACAGCATCCAAAGAGACAAGATTAATACCAAATCCCTCTTGTTAGACGTTAAAGTGCGTGTACAATGGAACAGTATTGTACATTCACTTCCGAGGCACGTTGGACGAAGAGAAAGACTTCATCTCAAAGCCTACTACAAAACAGGGTTATCTGAGACATGATATACAGACCCCTACTGAGAAGAGTTCGACTTCTTGATTGTGAACGTGCATAATATCGTGTTTAAAATCCAATGCATGGCTTATTTATTCACAGGTGGCAGGAATGGCTTGTGTACTAGCTCAACTACATATACAGTATTTGGATTGACTCTAGAAAAATGAGACTTTGATTTGAGCAATATATCTATGCGATTTTAAAGCATACAAGTTTGAAATAAAAGGGAAAATCTATATACAACGAATGTAAGGGTAAAATAATGAAACATTTTTATTTTTGTATTTGGATTTAATTTCAAATCTTCAGTGCTTCATTATTTGTGAGTTCGGCTTGCACTAACACGCCATTGGTCGTGTTTGGTGTACCATGTTGGAACTCTGAACACGCCACATGGCATGAAGGGCAGCGAAAGTGTTAAGTTTTGAAAAGAGAAAGCTGAGTCGGCTGAGAGTTGATCCGGATGCCTCACAATTCAGCCATTGAAGGTTCGCGACATTTCTTCGAAAGTCAGAATTCAGTAGAGAAGGAACGGGTAGTTATTACTGTGTCCCAAGAGTGAGCACTACTCCTTGGACGATGAGGACGTGTTGTCTCGATTGGAAAGGGAAATGCGGAATCATCACCGTATCGACACCACGAAGAACGATCATTGGGATGATGATCCCGATCGGCAGGTCAAACTTCCGATTACATTCTTCAACTGTCTTAATCCTCCGGGTCTCTTTCCGCACGCTCAAAACCTTACCATTGGAGCTATCGCAATGCTTCTGTGGAATCTCCCGATTGGGAGCGACCGTTGCCACGGCACGCATATGATCGTCAGACACATGAACGCAAATGTTTTAAATGTTCAGATTATCACGGGTGCGGGATTTCTGCTTCCGGAACCAGTATTCCCGCATGAACAATTATTTGTTGCCTGCACGCGAGTTCGCTCTGATGATTCGCAGAAGATTCAGGTTATCGATGGACCGAAGTAAGGCAACACTGATGCTGTCACCGTTAACAATGATGTCTATGAAGAAGTATTTCTTTGTGAAATACATTCGTTGGTATTATATGCGTTCATT